ATGTACGTAAATAAAGTAACGACAACTCAACGCGGGGGGGACTTCGATTTAAAGGGGACTTCTAGGGCCGAATCCACCTATGTATAATCAACAACGATCTACAAATCCGCTATCTAATGCCACATTCCTATTCGTTAACCCAGACGCTAATGTACTCTAACCCCCGTCTCCAGTGTAGCTAGAGTCTACCCACAGGTCCGACGTCTCCGTTCAGAACCTGCTATTAAGAGAGCATTTAGGTCAAGTCCTTAAGAGCTACCCGAAGTGCATCACGTCTCCGTTTCCACACCCCGAGGGGGGGTTTCCTAACTTCAAACAAGAAATCCTCTCTCGAGTTCATTCCTATTTAATATCAATTCGAGAGCTGATCAAACAATCAGAAGCATTTAATACAGGAAAACATAAACGAAATCGAAACACGACAAATAGATAACAGAAATGACGATCGAAATCAATATATACAAGGCTTCATCGCCCTAGAAGAAAATGTTCTTAGTTCATAACAAACATAGTATCAAAAGAAAGTACAAAGTAAATGAAGAACAAAACGTAAAGAAATTGCGTAAGAAAAACCCAAGTCGAAACCCCCGTTGATGATTCCCGCGAAGAACTGTCGAAAACCGTAAAAAGTCGAAGTCGTCGTGAAGAATGAAAGGGCCTTTCTATTTATAGTGAAATGCAAAGCTTCCTCAAGAAGCTTTGCATTTCAAAATATCTATCTCAAAAGGCGTGCCCAGATCGCGATCCGGGTTGTTTGGATCGCGATCTGGCAGCCTCGGGGAACTGCCCACCGCCATGCCAGATCGGATCAAAATGTGTATCGCGATCTGGATCTTGACTCATTTCAGCTCTGTAAGACCCCCCAGATCACGATCCGACTTTCTGGATCGCGATCTGGATCTAACACCAATTTGCTCTCTGTCGGACCCCCCAGATCGCGATCCGACTTCCTGGATCGCGATCTGGGTCTTGATCAACTTCAGCTCTGTAACAACCCCCAAATCGCGATCCAGAGATGTCAGATCGCGATCTGGGTCTTCTTGGCCCCAAAATTGGCTTGAAAATTTGGTTTCGCTTTCAAATGGCTTCGACTCGGCAAAAATACCTAATAAAACCCTGAAATAGAAATAAAACAAGAAACGCAATAATATATACAAATAAAACCGAAACTCGGACGAACGAAGACCAAAACTCGAAGATTTGATAAGTAAAAATCGTGCAAAACGAACACTTATCAATTACGTACAAAGTGATAGTCAATAGCAATATGTTTCATACGTGAGTGAAACACCGGGTTAACGGAGAGATAGGTTGCTCCGATATTGTCGCAAAAGATCGTCGGGACTGAGGTAGGTGTGACATGAACTTCCAATAGCAGATTTTTCAGCCAGAGTATTTCAGCAGCACATGAGGGAAGAGCTCGGTATTCCGCTTCCGTAGACGATCGAGCAACCATTTTTTGCTTTTTGGAGCACCATGAGATCACATTTCCACCTAAATAAACAATGTAGGCTGAAGTTGATGTACGATCATCACGGTTGCCGGCCCAATCAGCATCGGTGAAGGCGGTTAAAGCTAGTGGCTGATTCTTTTTGAGAAAGAGACCATGATGGATGGTGAATTTAAGGTAGCGCAAGAGTCTTTTGGTTGCTGTCCAATGTGCTTCGGATGGAGAGTGCATAAATTGCGCCAACTTGTTCACCGCATATGATATGTCGGGCCTCGTAAGAGATAGATATTGAAGCGCACCAATGACTTGTCTGTACTTGGTAGCATCAGCGGCAGGATATCCATCATGAAGATGAAGTGGTTGGTTCGATGACATGGGTGTTGTGCAAGCTTTAGCACCAGCCATGTCATTTCTCTCAAGGAGATCGCGAATATATTTGTGTATTTGTGTTGTGTAAGAAGAAGTCCCGAGGGAGTTGGTATTACTTCAATGCCGAGAAAAAAATGAAGATCCCCAAGGTCTTTAATAGAAAACCGAGCACCCAAAGCTGAGAGAAAAATGTGTAAAAATTTGTTGCAATTGCCTGTCACTATCAGATCATCAACATAGACAAGGAAAAAACAAGTAATAGATTCCTTGTGAAAAATAAAGAGAGAGGCATCACTGTGAGAATTATGAAACCCATACGAGAGCAAAAAACCTTTCAACTCATTATACCATGCGCGCAGAGCTTGCTTAAGACCGTATATGGATTTGCGCAATTTGCAAACAAAATTCGGATTAGATTTATCAAAATACCCCGGGGGTTGCTGCATATAAACGTCCTCAGATAATGTCCCATGGAGAAAAGCATTATTGACATCCAATTGGCGATGTGGCCAGCTATTGGATAACGCTATTGAAATAATAATTCGAATTGTCGTGGGCTTGACAACGGGGCTGAACGTCTCATGAAAATCAAGACCCGGACGTTGATAAAATCCCTTAGCCACAAGACGAGCTTTATACTTAGAGATAGAGCCGTCAGGATTGCGTTTGATGCGAAAAACCCATTTGCAACCGACAACATTCTGAGATGTAGATGGAGGGACAAACTCCCACGTCCCATTGCGAATGAGATCATTCAACTCATCCGACATGGTCTGCCGCCACTCAACTTGCTTCATTGCTTGGGTCAGACATGTGGGTTCAATGGAATCCGGAAGCGCGCGTCTGGTAGAAGTTTGAAGAATACGCTTTGGTTTGAATATGTTTTTTTTTTAGATCGTGTAATCATGGGATGAGATGTGGATGTAGTAGGCGGGTCAAGGAGTGGTGAGGGAGAATGATGTTGCTGTAAAGAGGAAGAGGTAGAAGTACCTGAGCTCACGGAGAGAGTTGGCATGACATCTATGAGTGACTGAGAATCAATGTCAGTTGCAGCTGGCTGTACCGGCAGAGTTGGTGCGATAAAAAATGGCCAGGGACTGGAGACCGAGGGAAATATTTGGGTAGAAGAGACATAAGTGGAGAAAGGGAATTCAGACTCAATAAATCGAACATGACGAGAGGTGTAAATTTAATTGCTTTTCATATCTAGGCAATAATATGCACTTTGATTAAGGGAGTAGCCGATAAACGAGCACGGAGTAGAGGTCGGCTCTAGTTTGTTCGAGGTGCACGGTTTTAGCCAAGGGAAACACAGACAACCAAAGACCTTCAACTTATTATAATTTGGCTTATGTGAGAATAATTTTTCATATGGTGTGGATAAATTAAGAATAGGTGTAGGGAGCCGATTAATGAGGTAAACTGTTGTTTGGAAGGCATATGACCAATATTTCTGTGGCATTTTTGGTGGAGGAGAGTGAGGCCCGTCTGAACAATATGTTTATGACGACGTTCAGCTATACCATTATGTTGGGGAGTGTGAGGTGGTGTTTTTAAGTGTTGAATTCCTTCATTGGATAAAAACGATTTCAACGCTGTATATTCACCACCCCCATGAGAATAGATGGTGGAAATACTCCGTTTGAAATATTTTTCAACAAGCATTTTATATTTGCGAAAAATAGAAAAAACATCGGATTTAAGACGCAACGGGTAAAACCAAATATACTTGGTATAGGGATCGACAAAGATAATGTAATAAAAGAAACCATCAACAGAAGGAATGGGAGAACGACCCCAAACATTAGTGTAAATAAGATCAAGAGGACCACTGCTAGTTAAAGTTGACTCACCAAACAGTAATCGGTGGCTTTTATTACAAAGACATGACTCACAATGAAAAGATAAGGGCATAGATGAAGAGATGGATAGGAGACCAGAGGTAGCTAGGGACTTTATTATGGGGAGGGAGGGATGGCCAAGACGCCCGTGCCAGACTGTTGGAGAAGTCGAAGAGGTAATGCCAGTCGATAGAGCCTTAGCAGGGCTGGTGGTTGCATCCGTCGTTGTCAGCCACTTATAGAGGTCATGCCGACTCCTTCCGTGGAGCAGATGTGTCCCCATACGCAAATCCTTTACAGCAAAGTAATATGGAAAGAATTCAATAGAAGTGTTATTGAAACGGCAAAACTTGGCAACTGATATAAGATTTTGTTTAATAGATGGTACACATAAAATATTGGATAAATGTAATGAAGGCCCAATAGAGGTAGAGCCCGTATGAGTGATAGATAAACCTGAACCATCACCAATTTGGATGTCGTCAGGGCCCTCGTAAGGTTGGTGTAGTGATAGATTTGACAACTGAGAGGTAACATGATGAGAAGCACCCGAGTCGAGAATCCAAGGAGCATTAGGGGATGGGGCCATTGTGGTGTGATTTGCCGAAGGCCTGTTCGATCGGAGATGGGGAAATAACTTGAAACAACGCTTGGCCTCATTGATACGAACCACGCAAACATCGTGACGAGACCCGGTACTGATATCAAATCCTGGACCGTCCAAAGAAGGAATCAAAGGTGGAACCGCGACCCGTTGCCTATAAGGAGGCAAGAACCTTGGTATGTGAAGACGCCACAATCGATTGCGGAAGATCGATTAATAAGTCGGGGTGAACAAACGGAATCCACCGAAATATTCGAACAGTTCTTAAAGAACCAAAGAGAATAAACTCCATTTAAATCATCAAAATTCGTCCATTGAAATAAGCCAAATTGACAGCCTATTTATAAGATCTAAAAAGACTCATTTTTCACAAGGAAAATGACTCTTACCTAAACTATAATAAGGAAACTAATAAATAAGAAAATCCCAACCATAAAAGAACTCTAAAATAATAAAAACATAATATAAATCCTAAAATAAAAACGTAATTTAATAAAATCTAAACTCCAAATATCAAGTCGACGACACGAACATTCTTCATAACTTGAGTAGACATTTGGCTGTGCACGTGTCTTGACTTCAAGCTCGATTTAGGACCTCTTCCACTCCAAATCTCTCTCGGATCAAAACAACAAAGTTTTAGATTCTTAAGTTGGCTTTTCGTAGCAATTCGAATCACCTTAATTGGACTTCAGATGAGAAAGTAATAAGCCAAGTAGTGTACTCTGCCAGAATTATACGGGACTTTCGGGATGCTTGAAATTCGACTTGTCCAACGAATTTCCCTCTTCCTTGTCTTCCAATTCTTCGTGTTGGATGTAGTTAGGATTATATCATACTTCCTTTCTTCAAAAGAATTCGTCCTCGAATTCGATTCCTTTGAATGAGCGTGTAGTATTGAAAGCGAATCCATGAGGCAGAAAGTTCTTAACTGTATTTGGAACTTTTTTTTTCTTTTTACGAACAATTAATAATGAAATTCCCCATCCAATAAACAAGATTAAATTTTCCTTGTTAGCACTCCGACCTAACGTTTATATAGAAACGCAAACCAAAAGTATAGAACAACCAACTTGACCCAATGGCTATATAGAACCACAAACCAAAATTATAATGTTGACGCCACAAGAAAGAAACTTAATAGAGTTCACGAGATTAACGAATAACAAAACTCACTCGTTCTTTCATTTTTTTTTTCGATTTTTTTTTTCTGGACTCTAGACAAAACCTAACTTAGACTCAAAGAAATTTGAAAATAAATTTCGAATTTTTTTTTTTTTTTTTGGTTTATGGACTCTAAATAAACAAAACCAAAGACTACTAGACTCAACAATAATAGACACGAAACGAAAACAAAACAAAGACACGAAAACAAAGACTGACTAAAAAATAAAGATAAAGGATAGGCGAAACCTTCTTAGGAAGATGGCTCTGATACCAAATGATATGAACCACCCCTTTGAATCTTTGTTTTTGGATGTTTTCAATCTTGCTTCCGCGTAAGGTATTGGATCTCGTAACAAGTTCTACGGGGTTCGTATCACTCATGTCCCCGTTTGTCACAAAATTGGCACAGTAGCTGTGATGGACGGTTGGTGGAGATTGGAGGTTTATAATGGCTGGGAGTAGGGAGAATGCCTTGGTGAGAGGCTCGTTTCGTATGACGAAAGCTAGGCGAGTGGGTGGTAAGATGGGCTGTTGGTGGTGTTGGTTCAAGAGTAGTTTTCTCATTATGCAACAAGAATGATTCATGGTCAATGATTTTATCAAAGAGTTCTTCAAAAGGAATCACTGAGTCACGGGTTCGAAGGGCCGTGATTAGTTCTTTGTAGGCTGGTCCAAGGCCACGGGTCGTGTAGATAAGCAAGTCGGCGTCACTCGGAGGATTTCCAAGAACGGTGAGTTCATCAGCGATCTTCTTAATTGAGAGAAGAAAATTTGTCACAGAGGTAGCGCCCCGAGTAATCGAAGAGAGTTTGTCCTTAAGATGAATAACATGAGAGGTAGATCGCTTTGCATATAGACGATGCAAACGATTCCTGGCCTCCTGACTTGTGGCGGCAGATGAGATAAGGGGAATGACATCCTCACTAAGGGAGGCAAAATTAGAATGAAGAATTAATTGATCTTGACGGCGCCAGAATACATGATTTGGATTAGGAGTTTGAACACCATTTACTGGTGTAGTAGTCGAAGGACATGGATTGGAGCCATCCAAGTAGCCAAGAAGGTCGAGGCCATAAAATAAGGAATGAAATTGTGCTCTCCAAGAGAAGTAATTTAGAGAGGTGAGTTTTAACGGGAGTTGGGCGGCAGCATTAATAGTGACTAAGGAAGAAGAAGCCATGGAAGTACAAAATGTGGTGGAAGAAGAACTAGAAGTCATTGAGCAGGAAGAGAAGAAAAAAAAATTTGAATCAGATATCTCGTTAGAGTAGGACTCTGATTACCATGAAGAATAATAAAGGTGTATAGAAAAAGATTTCATTGATACCTTGATTACACCGTGTATCTCCTATATATATACAAATACAAAGGATTAATACTTGGACTAGAAGTTACAGAAGATAAGTTTGAGTTGTTTAAGTTGGAGAGATTTTAGGATTATAGTTTTTCATATTGTCAACCACTGAAGAGTTTGTTGTGGGATAATCTCTAACAGTGATCACTCGATTAGTGCGGTGAAAGAATTTGAATGACGAGGTACGCGAAGCAACCGCATAACTTACCACTAATAATTACCCCCAAAATTCTAACCTCAGTAGTTAACGAGAATTAATTTGAAATTATATTTCATTTTTTTTTAATATCTTTTGTTCTTTTGTCTATATATATCAAGTTTTTAACCTCAGTTTAATAAGAATTATTGTTTAGTATATTTTCTATTACAATAATACTTTTCTTTTATATTTTACACACAAACACACACATCCCATATAGTATGCCATATTTCATTATAAAGTAAATTTTTTGTTATAAAAACTCATATTTGTCACACCTACAGTTTTGTATTATTAACGAATATTTTCAATCGATAAAATGTTTTTTTCTGACACCGCAGATACTAACCGGCTGGCCTTAACATC